CTAGTTGCGTCATTCTATCCGCACCCAATTGAAATGCCAAAGCATATTGAGATATTTAAAAAAAATGAGATTTTGGGTTACCGAAACCTTAGAAAGGAGTTCAACCTAAAGCCAATTCATCCATTTGAACATTTGTCAAAGAGTTGTAACTCTGAAAGCGTTAAAAGAGCTATGATTCCTTTGATATTCTTTGAACTCACGTTTATAATTTGATTCAATTACGAACAATATTTTACAGAATTTTTATCTTTTTCCCTCCTAAAACAAGAAAAGGAAAAAACATTTTCAAACAGGACAGACTCAGATATGAAGGGTCTGTATAGCCCAAGCTTGAAAAAAGATGGGGCACGATCGATTCCATAGACCAGGTTGGAAGACAAAAACACGGGACTCCATCCAAGAGAGAATACATAATTCATTCATGTTGCATGCATCTTAGACATACTTAGGTGCATCACATTCATCTTTTTAGCATTATATGATTTTTTGCAGCTTGTAGAGTCAAGTTTCGACTTCAAGATGAAGAATACTCGATTCACAAGCGCCTTTAAAGAACGATGGTGTTTGCTTAACTCAGTGGTGATCCACTTGAAATATCTCAAAGTCAGCTTCATATAAGTTTGAGAACCAGTTCAGAACAAATTCAGTTCGACTCAACTCAACAACGAACAACATATTTCAAGTTAATGTCTTCAAGCCAGATTTCAATTCCACAACGGAAGATATACGACTGACAGAATTCATCAGCGGGCTTTCCCGTAAAAGGGGAGTCATTCAAAGATCGTCTCATTTGGTTCAGACTCGCTCAGAGGAACCACCTGAAGAACTACGACCGGCTTAGACCTGTGAAAGAGAAACCATTTTTTTAACATTTGCAACATAGCTCAAGGCAAGAAGGGTTATTTGTCACCAAAGACCTTCGAGTTCGACTACGCTCAGCTCCAAGGCATATCATTTGCAGCATAACTTAAATCGAGAAGGGTTATCTGCCAACTAAAGACCTTCGAGTTCGACTATGCTCAGCTCCAAGGCATATCATTTGCAGCATAGCTTAAGTCGAGAAGGGTTATCTGCCAAAGACCCCCGAGTTCGATTACACTCAGCTTTGAGGGCATATTATTTACAACATAACTCAAGGCTAGAAGGGTTATCTATCACCAAAGACCTTCGAGTTCGACTACGCTCAGCTCTAAGGCATATCATTTGCAGCACAACTTAAGTCTAGAAGGGTTGTCTGCCAACAAAAGACCCTTGAGTTCGACTACGCTCAGCTCAACGGCATACCATTTGCAGCATAGCTTAAATCGAGAAGGGCTATCTGCCAAAGACCCCCGAGCTCGATTACACTCAGCTTCGAGGGCACATCATTTACATCATAACTCAAGGCTAGAAGAGTTATATGTGACCAAAAGACCTTCTAGTTCGACTACGCTCAGCTCCAAAGCATATCATTTACAACATAACTCAAGGTTAGAAGGGTTATCTGTGACCAAAAGACCTTCGAGTTCGACTAGGCTCAGCTCCAAGGCATATCATTTGCAGTATAGCTTAAGTCGAGAAGAGCTATCTGCCAAAGACCCCCGAGTTCGATTACACTCAGCTTCGAGGGAACACCATTTGCAGCATAACTTAAGTCGAGAAGGGTTATCTGCCAACAAAAGACCTTCGAGTTCGACTATGCTCAGCTCAACGGCACATCATTTGCAGCATAGCTTAAGTCGAGAAGGGCTATCTGCCAAAGACCCCCGAGTTCAATTACACTCAGCTTCGAGGGCACATCATTTACAGCATAACTCAAGGCTAAAAGGGTTATCTGTCACCAAAGACCTTCGAGTTCGACTACGCTCAGCTCCAAGGCACATCATTTGCAGTATAGCTTAAGTTGAGAAGGGTTATCTGCTAACTGAAGACCTCCGGGTTCGATTACGTTCAGCTCAGAGGCAAACCAAATTACAGCATATCTCAAGGCAAGAAGGGTTATCTGTCAATAAATTTGTCGAGTTCGACTCCATTAAGCTCGATGACACATCGCACTACTGTCCGGTTGCAATCAAGGTTTTCAAGTCGAGAAGAAGACCCGGGTGAACCGTGCCTCAATAACAAGAAAAATGTTTCCCAGCAGCATAGCTTAAGTCGAGAAAATCTATCTGTCAACGAAGACCCTTCGAGTTCGATTTCATTCAGCTCGAGCACTTATCAACCACACAGTGGAATTAAAGAATTACTTTCCAGTCGGATTTTTAACCAAGGTCTTTAAATCGAGAAGAAGACCGAAGTTTATTACAATTTGGCAACGAGAAGCCGCATTCCGATTTCAAATTCCGAATTACGGCTTCAATTTCATATCATTTCAAGATGGACTCGACTTCGCGACGAAAGAGCCATCCACAACTCAATTCGATAGGGAGTTATTTTTCAACCCCACTGAACGAAAATTTGTGTCTTTTTATCTTTGTCCTATTTTTCGCTCCACGAAAAAGAACAAAGAGGGGAGCTGTAGACACTCATTTTCGTCCATATTTTATATATATATATATATACACATATAAATCTATATATATATATTATATAGTTTGCGAATGTTTTTAAAATACATATAATATATATATAATTTTGAAAACGGTTTTTGGAAATATATATTATATAATTTTTGGAAAACTTTTTTGAAAACATATATAATATATTATTTTTGAAAACATTTTAATATATATATATATATATATTATGTAGTAGTTTTTGAAAACATTTTGAATACATATATAATATATAGTTTTGAAATCATTTTTAAAACATTTATATAATATATAGTTTTAAAACATTTTTGAATATAATATATATTTTTTTTAAAAACATTTTTAAAACATTTATATAATATATAATTTTAAAACATTTTTGAAAATTATATAATATATAATTTTGAAAATATTTTTAAATATATAATATATAGTTTTTTTTAAAGTATTTTTAAAAATATATATTATATAATTTTTTTGAAAATATTTTTATATATTATATATTATTTATTATATTTTATTATTATTATTATTATTCTTTTAATTATTATTTTTTTCTTATTTATTTTTTACTTTTTGTTTTTCTGGTCCAGGGTCCAAGTTCAATAAGGGTCCATGTCCAACCAGCCCAGGTCTATTAGGGTTGTAAAACCCTAATCTATCAAGATAACAAGCACATCACCACATATGATCTTGGACCATTGGATCTGACCCAATCCAATGGTCGAGATCAAGCATTCCAGAAGATTTGAAGTAACCGGTTAACCGAGGATCTCAGCGGCGTACAACACCAAAATCGGAGCTACTCGGACTGAACCATCCGAGATCACCTAGAACAACCCCGGAATATCCGAGATCAACTCCAACCACAACCGAAAATGGCCCCCAACGAGAGCCTATAAATATCAAAACAAAAACGGACAGAACACAGAACCGAGAGAGAATCCACGAAAATCTCCGGAGCATAAACACAGTAAACCGAGGGAAACACCATCATGAAAACAACGGCCACAAAAACCATGAACACAAAAGACAACAATAAACCAAACACCTAACAGTACCAAATACATAACACAACCAACGTCGGGAAATAACAATCAAACATAAACCAAAAATAACAAGCCCCAACACAAGGGACATATCGCATACAAAAGAAGGGAGAGGCACCGGTCTGGGCTCGAAAAGTGAAGGGTCACCGGCAAGGAAGATAAAAAGGCCGAACCTTTCAGGTTAGATCTACTTCGTTCGAGGTAGTTTTAGGCGATTTGGGATTTGATTTTGTATTCAGGGTGATGAGAATGGTACTCGGTGAGCTTTTGGGGTTGTCTGGCCACCGACGGTGGCGGCCGGAGTGATTTTCGGCGAAGACTGGCACGGCGGGGTTCTCATCGGAGGGGATGCCCAGGAGAAATGTTGAGAGTTTAAAGGGAGTATTTTTTTTGTTTTTTTCTCTAAACTGAGTGAAATGAGGATATTTGTGGGTTTTGGGTATATATAAGCGAGGGTTTGGGTGTAATTAGGGGATAGTTTAATTCTTTCCGCCATCCCCATACTTTGAAGCGCAATTCATTTTGGTCACTGTATGCAATCTGGCCCTTGGATTGTCGATTTATTCAATTTGGTCATCATTTACACTTTTTATATTTCATGAATTAACCCCCTAATTTTGTTTATTTTCAATTGCAGTTCACTTTTAAAATTCATTTCGATCCATAAATTCCAATTTCACTCAATTTGATCCTTTTTTATTTTTTTCGTTTTTTCATTATTTTTATTTTATTTCTCATTATTTTACTATTTTTACGTAATTTATTGTTTCTTTTTTATCATTTGTTTTCATTTATTTTATTATTGCTAGTATATATTTTTTATTTTATCTTTCTTTTGACTTACTTTTTGTGTTCTTTTTTTAAAAAGAATTTCTCATTTATATTTCTCTTTTTTACTCTCTTATTTATTTATTTATTTACTTTTTTTTGTCATCTAACATTTTTTATTTTTCTTTTGGAAGAATTTCAACCAATCAGAGGTAAGCAATTCGAATCGAAATTTTAAATTTTAATTTAAATTTCAAATTTTTGCAATCAAGGCAACCGATAAATTAATTGGTACCGAAAGGGCGGTTCAAGGGTGCTAGTCCTTCCTTGACCGTAACTGACTCTCGAACTCGACACGTTTCTGGTAAAACGCAGATCAGGTAAGATGGTGTCCGATCCACCTAAATATTTTTTTAAAGTGATCAGTGGCGACTTCAATTCATTTAATCCAAGACGAAGCCCAATTCCGGGGCCTAACCGAAAGTCGGTTCCGACAACATTTATATAAAATTTAATAAATTAATAAATTTATAAGTTATATTATGGTATTGATTTAAGAATATTAAAATATCTATCCCGTATTTTAAATTTACGGAACGCTTGGGGATTAATCTATATAGAATTAAAATTATTAGACCCTGAAAAACCTTAAAAGTAAAAGTATTCCCTAATCACCAATTTTCCCATTAAGGTCAATAACAGCAACAATAGGCGATCAATTTTGCAGTCAGAAAATAGAGATTCAGATCAAGGAAGAAGCAAGGGAAGAAAGAACGAAAGTCGAAAGAGATGGGAATCAGATTCATATTAATGGTGAACAAGCAAGGGCAGACCCGTCTCGCCCAGAACTACGAATGGCTAACCCACGAAGAACGACGTGCCCTCGAAGGCGAGATCGTTCGTAAGTGCTTGGCCCGCAACGAGCAACAGGTAATAATATTTAAAGAAAGAATTGCATGTAAATCTCCTTTTTCTAGAAATATCTGAGATTTTTTCCCATGATTTAACTCTCTCTTTTTGCTGTAATTTTGTCCGTTCGTGATTATTAGGGGATTTGGAATTCCAATTTCTAATTTCCTTCAAATTTATGGCCAGAGTTGCTAGTAACTTCAGAATTAATGCTCTATTTACTCATTTCCGGTTGTTAATTTGCTTGAATTGTGACAGTGTTCATTTGATGAGCATCCGAATTACAAAATTGCGTACAGGCGATACGCTTCGCTGTTTTTCTTAGTTGGAGTTGACAATGATAAGGTAAGTTCCATTCCTTTCCTATCCCCCTCTAAGATCATGTTTGTAATTGTTGATGTATGCCTAAGTTTTTTATGGCATTTCCCCCCTAAGATAAACAAAGAGATGTTGAAAGCTTAGGAGTGTTTAGAATGCATACCCTTGATATGGGGTGATTAACACAAACCATCAACAATTTTCTCTTTATTGAATCATATGCAATGTTTGCTTGTGATTTAGCACTACTGTAGAGGTTGCTTAGTGACATTTGAATTTTACTCTGTTGGAATTGGAAGAAAATATCAACTTACACCCTAGCCTTACACTTGTTCATTTTTGTACCAACTAAACCAGGCATCAAACTATTGTCACTCGTGTCTATAATCTCAGATCATAGTATTTGCTTCAGTTGTATTGCTTTAAGATGAGGTTCTGGTGTATTAGTTCAAATCAGGGTCCTTATGATAGCCTTATGGATTCTGGATTCACAGTGATGATACTGTATTTCTTTTCCCTAAAGGTTAAGACATAAAATGGTGTATTGCTTTGAGAGGATCAATGTTATACTTTTACATGCATGTATGCATGTATTTGAAAGTCATCACACTTATCTTTTCCTGTGAGTTGTCATTGGGAGAGATAAGTTAATTCCAAAGGGCCCAATATAGGCCAAACTGATCCGATCTCATCATAAATTGCCTCCACTTGGCCTCAAAATTTCCGATAAGAAGCTGCCCCATCTCATCCTAACCGGACAAATTCAAACCCCCTCCCCCCCTTCCTAAAGAAAAAAAAACAATTCTATTATGCGTGTGCAAAAGAAACCTTTGACCCTTGCAGTTGGCATTGTCCCGCACCTAGTAGTTTTAGACTGAAACAATACTCTGCTTGATATCAATCAAAACCAAGAAAAGGGGAGGCATATTTGATTTCTAGACAATTGGTTCAACAAAAGGCAATCATTGATTGTCTTCAACTTTAAAACTAAAGAATTTATATAACCCACTCTGTTGGTTCAATCTTCAGAAATGATGCACATTTTAAAGTTTTCGAAAGACATTGCAAGAAGCAAGGCATCATAGTTCACTTCACATGCATTTGTTTAGTACTCGAGTAACCTATGGAGCCACACATTTATTGCGTTTATTGCTTCTACAACTTGTGGACTGCATTTGGCCGCAACTGTATTATTTGATTACACTTCAAGTGGGTAGGTTTTGTTAAATGATTAGATTCTTTTCGTGTTGGTATATTTACGTGGGGTCTCTCCGTTTATCAATGGGAATTGTTTCATGATTTTAACACCTAATTATATTAACACTAGACTGGGTCATCAGTAGGATCAGTAGGGCTGAGCAAAACTCTACTTGAAAAATGTTTTTTTTTCAATTTCTAGTTATTCGACTCAACTCGAATTATCGATTCGGTTTTCGAGTTCGAGTCGAAATTTTGGAATTTCGAGTTACTCGAAAAATCGAAATTTTGACCAAGTATTTTGATAGTTTTACGATTTAGTCATTGGTTTTAATTTCTTCAATTCCTCTTTTTGATAATAAATTTTTTAATTTTCAATTTAGTCCCTCAATTTTTCATTATTTCCTTATTTCTTCAATTCGTCCTTTATTTTAAGTTCGGTTTTTACCAAATTTGAACTACATGCTCATATACCATAATAGAATACCTATGGAACTGTAATTCTTACATTTTTTTTATTAAAAATGTATTCTCGTTAATATTTTACCCTCAAAATTCTTTCTTTAAAATATAATATTATGAATGTATTTTATAATTTTAGAATGCATTTGATATATTAAATAACATTATAATGTGAGAAGAATATAATATATATATACCTTACATGGTTAAAGAATGTCAAAGAATTGAAATAATTCCTTGTCATAATACTATAAAGGCATAATGCAACAAAATAACCCTAACGTTTGTCAGTAGTGTCAAACTTGCCCGTATTGTTTTTTTTTTGAAGCATTTGACCACTGAATGTTTAACTTTGTGTCAAAAATCACCCTTGATGGATGGAAACCGTCAGTCAACATACGGTCAACGCAAGATGCTGACGTAGTAAGCACACATGGACGTGGAAGCTTACGTGGCATGTCCATGTTAGAGATCATGAAGACGTGGTGTTGCCACGACAGAATTTAAAAAAAAATATATGATTAATATTATTTTTATATTTAATTATTTATAACTAATCAGAGAGTGACACGTGTCACTCTCTGATTGATGTTTGTTTAAAGCATCTATTAAAAGGAGAAACACAAGGAGGATAATTGAACCTGGGCAAAGGTTATGAAATAGCATAACCTTTGCTACTAGACCAAGCTCCTTATTTGGTTAAATAATGAACTAAATGATATTTAATAGATTTCACTGCCCCCATCACACAAAATCACGTTAAAAAACAGTGGCTCTGGGATACCTATTTGATCTCTTCCACGACGATATCGCCGCCACAAACGCAACCACCACAGTTGTCACTTCCACCATCAGCACCAAACACGGAGGGAAATTCATAATGGACACGACAACCAACGTAGCAACCCCATCAATAACCCCACAAAGCAGCGGTGACTTCGGATCGAGAACTTCAATGTCACGTTCCGAGTCAAGAGCGGGATCCGGATCAAGGTTAAACTTCGGGTTCGAGCAGCCATCTCCCCACAGAATTCGTTCCAGACAGGGGGTTCGTGATGCCATTGACGGTGGACAGCATGGGGAAGTTCAGTAGAACGGAAGTGGAAGTAGGGGGGCATCACGCGACATGCACGGTGGATGCAGCAGCTTTTGTGGCATTGGCAGCGGCTATGGATCTAAGCATGGACGCCTGTCCGTCTTTCTCTCGAAAGCTAAGGAAAGAGCTGAGGCAGCAAACTGAGGAGTTTGTCGTTTAATGTACTAGGGTTTTATCGTTTTTAGGTTGGTTCTTTTGGCATATAACTAACAACATTCTTTGAGCTGATTTTTTTAGTTTTGTACATGCGGAGTGACCATGCAGCATTTCTTCTCCCTTTGTGATATAGTGAAATTTATTAATTTTTGGTACTTCTGTCTTTTGTGTTATATATATATATATATATATATATGTTTTTACTTTGTCCAAGCATCCTATGTTGGATACGTGGAAGTATCAAATGGAAGTAAATTTATTTGTAAGTGTTATAGGTGTCATTGGAAGGTTTTGTTGCCTGCAACTATAAGCAATGCAATCAAATGTTCATCAACTTCATTGTAAGTGGAGTTTTCACATTCATTAGATAAGAATATCAGATGAAGATAACTAAACAAGCTTTCATTGGATAAAACATTTGAACCCGTTCCTTTAAATGAAAGCCAATGACACTTCTATCAAAGTGATTTGATTTGCTATCACAGACTTGGCTAGTTTTGATCATGCAGTAAGCCATATCAGTAATGGGAAATACAAGTTTCATATATATATTGACAGTAGAGGAACTTGGCATAAATTACACAAATTGCATCCACCGACAACATCAAATATAGTTTACATTTTTTACTTCAAAGTTGAAACCGTATTCTCTAGAAACAGTAGAAGCCCTCTAAAATCAGTGTATTATCAAAATAGCGTGAAAACATGGCAACTTTAAAGCACTTCCCAATAACTGAACAACCATTCAATCAGATTTTCATTCAGCAATAATATCTTCATTGTTGATCCCTTCTGTTGTAATATCTGGCAATGTACTCAGATACACAGCAAAATCTCTCTCTTCTTGGGAAAGCGTATTGTGAGAAGAATCGATGCGGTCATTGTGACCATCCACAGTCTCATTAGAGGTGCAAGTGTCTGAGCTGTCATTTGTTCCCCTGGATTCATCGTCACCACTTTGTTTCTCATACCGAGTTGAATCAGTTTTCTCCTTACTTGTGGAAGACTCAGAACTGTGCCCTTCAGCTGTTGCATTTATCCTGGGCCTATTCTCTGAAATGCCAGACTCTGCATTAGTCGATGAATTCGAGGATTCTGTTGTGGCACAACACGATCCACTGTTTTTCAATGTGATTTTGTGTGATTGGAGCAATGAAATCTATTAAATATCATATAGTTCATTATATGACCCAGTAAGGAGTTTGGTCTAGTGGCAAAGGTTATGTTTTTTCATAGCCTTTGGTTAGGTTCGATTCCCTTCCCTTGTGTTTCCCTTTTAATAGATACTTTAAACAAACACCAATCAGATAATAACACATGTCACTTTTTGATTTGGTCATAAATAATTAAATATAAATAGTATTGATCATAAAATTATTTTTTAAAATTCTGACATGGTAGTGCCACGTCATCATGATCTCCGACATGGACATGGACATGCCACATCAGTTTCCACGTCAGTTGACTGACGGTTTCCATCCATCAAGGGTGATTTTTGACCCAAAGTTAAACGTTCAGTGGTCAAATGTTTCAAAAAAATAATACGGACAAGTTTAATACTACTGTCAAACGTTAGGCTTATTTTGTTACATTATGCCTACTATAAATACTTATAATAAAATTAGTATAGAAATTTAAATAACTCGACTCAATTCAAAACAAATTTCAAGTTAAATTCGAGTTGTAAAATACAACCCATCATCTCGAATAACCTAAAAAAATTTTACTCAACTTGATTAAATGCTCTACTTAGTCATCAGTCTTGCCATATAAAGTAATTAAATCATCTTTGTTATTAATTTTTCTCCAAAAAAATAATTTTATTCAAATATATATATATATATAATTTAGTTTACACAATCCTATTCATTTTTCATTTAAGATTTTAGAGTTTGATACTAAAATAAATTGGGTTATATAAATTATATTGTATCTGGAGATAGATTGAGAGGATGTTGGAGTGTGGTTGTACCCTCTAAAATTTTTTAATTTCCCTATATTATAAATATTTAATTTATATTTTATATAAATTATTTAATTTTTCACCCTTTAAAATATTTTTTATGTTTGCATTTCTGACACAAATTTCTGTGTACGTATCTGATTGTATCAAATCTAAATTAACATTAAAGATGAATCGATCAGATTCAAAACGTTCAGCTCTTCTAGTTTTTGGGGGAAAATAGTGAAAGAAAAAAAAGAAACAAATTACCTTGGACATTTACAATAATGTTTGGTTACTGTTGACTATGACGTCCAACAATAATGGGTTCTATGGCAATCAATATCAATCACTATGCTTCAGTCCATTTAAGATTTTTTCTTATCTCTTAGACGTTTTTTTAGATAAATCACCTATAATCGGTATATTTATCGATTTAACATCAATCAGATTATATTTTTTGATCT